GGGGGTTTGCTCTGAGGCGACCTGACCACTTGCCTTGATGTCTCCTGGGAAAGCAACTTGCTTGTTCTTGTAGTAACCAGTCAGTCTGCCTATATTGTATTTTTGTATTTTTCCTGTCAGTCTTTCTTTCAAGAAGTTATCTTCTGTTCTTCTAGCTGCTCCAGGACGGTCTGCCTGTCCTTTCAAGTGGAAATTTCCCACCTCTGAAGATTCTGGATACTGTTCAGGATTCCACCTACAGTCTTATGTAATGCAGAGGCTCCACAGGAAGTCTCCATCACTGGGCACGTTGTAGCCCCATTTTAGGTATTCCTACACAAAGGCTTTTGATTGTGTGGATCATGACAAACTATGGACATTGTGAGTATGAGTATTCCAGAACACTTAATTGTGCTCATGAGAAGCCTGTACATAGACCAAAAAACAGTTATTTGAACAGAACATGGGAACATCGAATGGTTTCAAATAAGGAAAGGTGTGCGACAGGGTTGTATTCTTTCACAATACTTATTCAATCTGTATGCCAAGCAAATAATCCAAGAAGCTGGGTTATACGAAGAAAAACGTGGCATCAGGACTGGAAGAAGACTCACTAACAACCTGCAATATACGGATGATACAACTTTACTTGCTGAAAGTGAAGAGGACTTAAAATACTGATTAAGATCAAAGACCACAGCCTTTGGTATAGATTGCATCTCAGTGTAAAGAAAACAAACATCCTTACCACTGGACCAATAAGCAAGATTCTTATCAATGGAGAAAAGATTGAAGCTGTCAAAGAATTCATTTCTTTTCTCGGATCAACCAGCAAAACTCATGGAAGCAGTAGTCAAGATATCAAACAATGCAAATCAAATGATGTATTGCATTAGACAAATCTGCTACACAAGACCTTTTTAAAGTGTTCAAGAGCAAAGATGTCAGTTTGATGACTAAGGTGTGCCTGATTCTAGCCATGGTGTTTTCAATAACCTCATATGCATGCTAAAGTTGGACAATGATTAAGGAAGACTGTAGAAGAATTGATGCATTTGAATTCTGGTGTTGGAGGAGAATATCCAAAGTACCATGGA